AATCCATCACAGATCCAACATTTTTATTGTCATCCAATAATCATCTCATACATCATGAAATTCATAATCAATTCATATCCAACCATGGTTTCAACAAGACTTAACCATGAAAACCTCATCCTCATATCCTTTTACAATTTCATATGGATCACACAACATTTCTACATTCAACAAATGCATCAAACAGTTCAAAATAGTTTATATATAACACTTTTTCTTTATATCCTTTTTATACCCATATTTAAGTAACTCAAACAGCTTTGAAACCATCACCAACAGCTCCGGAAGGGTCAAGAACCCCCAAAACGACCTAGAGAACGTCCAAAACGGACATCCGGAACCCCCAAAACTATCAAAAACAAATTCTGCAAAGTGCAGGTGCGTGTTAATCGATTAACACTGCATGTTAATCGATTAGCAGTTCGTAATTTACCCAGAACAGGTCCAGACAGCAACCAGATTCTGGTTTTTCACCCAGAATTTTCCAGATTTGATTTCCAGTACATATTCAACACTTCTAACATGTTTTCAAACATATTTGGAGTCTATTACCACTCCACAATCAGCCAGAAACATCATAACATCATCCTATCCAATTTCTCATGCAAAAATCAACTCTTTTAACTATCCAACAACCACATATCCCTGCATAATTTTCTAACAACTTGCAACCCAACATTCAGCACCCAACAATGATCTTTCCTCCAAGATTTTAAACACCAAAACAGATCAATAACGTACTGCAACTTATCCCAAAACAGTTTGCACATACCACTTTCTAAATTCAAGAAAACAAAGGAAAGGAGTAGCTTCCACCACTCAAAATCCCAAAATGTGCCACATCCAAATCTGAAAACAACTTATATAACTCTCACCTTCATCAATCTTCAATCCATTTTCGCAAATCAAAATACAGTGAGATAAACTTCTATTATATACAACCCCATTTCATGACCAAATTGGTTCAAAACTTTCCATCCACATATACCAACATAAAAGAATAAAATCCCACCATCAATTCAACATAGATCCATCAATTTCCACCAATATTTCATCATATAACTTAATCAAGATTCATAGATCAAAGTTGTAACACAAGGATCCCTTCAAGTCAACCAATTAAAATCATGGCATGCCTATGTATACGATAATCCCAATTTCTCATTCTCAAATTCTTAATACTCAACATTTACCCATAAGAAACCACATATTCATCAAGTAAATTCTGCACACACATAATCACAGAAGAGATAAGTTAGCTCCCCTTACCTCTTGAAGATCTTAACTTCTTCTTCCAAGAGAGTAACTCCTCCTTTCCTTGGTAGACCAAGCAAGCTCCAACACCTCTGCACACTTAGAGTTTCGTTCTCCTCACACCAAAAAGCTCTCCACTCTCCCCAAATTTCCAAATCTGATTTGGATTTAAAGAAATGGCTCCAAGATAAGCTAGGACCCAAGATATTGTAATTTAGCAATAAAAGACCAACATCTGGCCATCCTAATCCATTTTCCAGCCCAAAATCCGGAAAGAATGGTTTGTGGGAAGATTCCCCAACCTTGCACGCTCAAAAAAACGTGTTCCAGGCTGTTATGTTTCCATAACTGACGTAGCTAATCGATTAACTCAAGTGCTAATCGATTAACACGAGTCCAGAGGTTAAAACACGAAATTTTCTCTGTAACAATCGATTAACTACAGCTGTTAATCGATTGTTCCAGCAAAGAAAAACTCAAACAGCACATCTGTCACAACTTTGACAGATCGGTTGAACCCCTTCCCGAAGTCGGAATTAGGCGTATGAGTACTCGAATCGAAGCTCTTTGAGTCTACTTTCCAATGGAAAAAGAATCAACCCAAAATATTAATTGTATAAAAAGTTATACATAAAATAGTAAACTATGTCAAATTTTGACAGCATTCTATTTTACACTACAACTTGAAATTTTTACAACTTGGTAAAATTTTGAGTTTACAAGGGTCTTACACCTTCCACCCCAAATTAGGGTTTTCCAGATTGGGGAAACTTGCCCCTGCACCTGCACCACGATTTTGCTCTTCTATCTTACGCTGTCATGAGCCAAGAATGCGAGAAGGGAAGGGTCCTCTCTTACAGGTGGAGAATGGAGTTTCTGTTGTGTTTTTGGATTTGTAGGTCTATTGCAGGTGATGGCGCATCTGGATGACGGTGATGATGCGAGGGAGGATGTCGCGGCTTGCAAGGATTTTGTGCTTTGAAGGTGGCGTTGATGGAGGATGGCGTCGCTGCAAGGGAGCTTGCAAGATGAAGGCGCGACGATGGAGAGGCTTAGGTGATTTAGGGTTCATCGCAACACTCATGATTTGGGATTTTGCTTGGCTGTGGTTCTCGATTGGTCGAAGCGAACTCGGTGTGCGTCTTCCGGCACGGTGCGATCGTTTTTGGATTTGTTTGAGTTTTAGGTGATTTTGGGAATGCCATGGATGACTCGCGAGGAAAAAGAAAGGGCTCCGCTGTTTGGATTCTTTGCAGGTGAAGAATGGAAGCAAAACAGGCATTACACCTGCTCTAATACCATATTAGAAAAGGTATTCAGAAAAGGAGGAGGCTTTCGAAAGAAGAGAAGGGTTCACAGAGTTCTTTATTGCAAAAGGGAGAAGATAAAAAAGGAATAAATGGTTGTAGTAATCACGTAAGAAATCTTGGATCTCTCTATTTCTATTGTATATTGTGTATTATGGTTTTTATTACATTGAAGAACAAAGTGAAACCTTACACATATAGGATTCTCTTGAAAATAGGAAAAATTAAAACCCTAACTAACTCTAACTAACAAAACAACTTGATTACTGCATCTAAGCAGTAATCCAATTGATTATAAGCATCTCAATATCTTTGCTAAAGTAGTATATGTTTATTGTCAAACAAAACAAAAGTTTCAATTAAGGAAGAACAATTTGAATTTCAAGGAGGATGAAGGAAAATGATTTCAGTTTCGATAAAAAAAAAGGAGAATAAGACAATTTTATTCATTTATTTAATATATAATAAGGAAGGACAAAGTGGAAATCAATAAAAAATTTGAAAGTTGAAGAAAAGATAACGGTGAAGGAGTTTTGTTTATCATCGAAATGTTTATTCCTGTCTCCAATTAACATTTACATTAAGTTGACATGGATAATGTCTTCTACGAACTCAAGAAAGATGTTAATTATATCTAAATTCCTACAAGGATCATTATTTCTAATATGAATCAGACCTACAACCATTTTAAATCGATATATTGACTCAAGCAACCAAGTATGAAATTATTTGAGAAACTAACTTCCACACTTGCTCTCTTCAACTACACAAGAACACTATTTATTAAATTTCTTGGTGTCTTATTTACATCATTAACAATCTACATTGATGATATTATTGAGAATCCAAATGTGAGTCTAAGTCCCACATTGGATAGAAATGAGAAAATAGAGTACTATATAAGTATAAAAGACCCACTAACTCATTGCCTTAAGATTTTGGATAGAGAATGATGTCAATCTTTTACATGGTTGAACTCATATCTCATTGATATTATATCTCTCCGATGAACCTCCTCTTCAATAGACCCAACAGATCATGGTATCTTTTTTCAATGGAGATTCATTGGTGAGCTTTTAAGGAAAACAAACATTTATCTAAAAGAAAAGACATTTTCTTCCTGCACCCTCTAATTTTTTAATTGACTTCCGAATTTCTTGTTTCGCAAATTTTCTGGAATAAGATTTCCAAAATGTATGAAATGAACCTCGAAACAAGTTTTATAGAACAAAATTTTCAGAACATATGTAATATCTTCTAGAATGCATTCTCTAGAATGAAATTTTCGAAACAAATTAAATGTGTTATAGAAAGAATTTTTCGGAATAAACGTTTTTCTACAACACATTCTCTGTCTTCTTCTTCTACAACTACGGCAACAGTGGTTTGGTAGTGCGACGTAGTGGTGATGGTATGGGGGTACTTTTAGTAATGATGGTAGGCAGAAAACAAAAGTCGAAGAGAAAAAGATGAACTACTTGACTTAAGGGTGTTGCTCCCTTCACCACCGCATCTTTCTCCCCCCACCTCCCCTTTACTATTTTACCCTTAAAGTAAAATTTTATTTTTAGGATTATTTTTCTTTTATTTTAACATTATATTTCTTCATCTCTTTCTTTTGTCGCGATGAGATACTACAAGTTATAAAGGTTGGTGGTGATGAAAAGAATTATCAAGCAGTCTCCCTGTCGTGATGCAGTGTGGCTCTCGTGGTGCAGTGTGTGGAGTGGTACAGTGTGTGTTGCTTCTTAAGGTGCGTATTCGAATAAACCTTCAAATAAAACCCTAAAATAAAAAACGTCTCTAGGTGCGTATTCGAATAAACCTTCAAATAAAACCCTAAAATAAAAAACGTAACCTTTAAACGGAGGTGACATCCTACGGATGTCAAAATCCTTCAACGGATGTTGACATCCGTTTATGTCAACATCCGTTTAAGGAAAAAACGGATGTCAACATCCGTTCTTTCCATAAACGGATGTTGATATCAGTTCTTTCCTTAAACGGACTCCGAGTTACGTTTTTAATTTTAGGATTTTTTTTATTAGTTTATTCTTTATTTTTTAAATATTTTAATAATTTAATTTAAATGTTTTGATTTATTATTTTTTAATATATTTTTAATGTATTTTAATAATGTAAAGAAAATGAAGAAGAAAGAAACGGATCAAGAGAAGTGAAACGGAGAAGACAAATGGAGTTGTAAAGTAAAATTGAAGACAAATTGTTAAACGGAATTGAGAGATAGAAAGATTGGGTGCAGGGAATAAAGTAGTAGAACTAGGTTTGGAATAAATTAAAATAATAAAAATAAAAAATTTTAATTTAAGGATATAATTGAAATTAAAAAAAATTAGGGAGGTGGAGGAAGAAAGGTGTGGTAGTGGAGGTAGCAACACCCTTGACTTAAAAGTCCTTGAGCCACTTTTGGGCCTATAGGTATCGGCTCAACATGCGAGTAGGACAGCGTACGAGAAAGAGTTCAGACAGCTCTGGTTTTTGTGTTGCTCAATGGAAGAAGCACCTGAAGAACCATCACAATCGCGAGACTCTTGGCGAGATCACCAAACTTGGATAACGTTACGTCTCTACAATTCTACATTCCACAATTCTAATTTTTTTATTCCCTTTCTTTCAATCCTTAACATCTATCACGCTTTTCAGCACACAAGACATTCTCAGGGAAAAGCTGATCACAGAGGACAGTTTCTCATGGAAATTATCCAGCGAAGGTGAACCTGGTTATAAGAAGGGAGAAGAATTGAGATGCGTTGGTGGGGTTGACATTAGCTTTTCAAAGGATGATCCATCAAAGGCATGTGGCACCCTCGTGGTGTTGGACTTCCACACTCTCCAAGTTCTCTATCAGGACTTCTCTTTTGTCACTCTCCAAGTCCCTTATGTGCCTGGTTTCCTTGCATTTAGAGAGGTTCTTTTTCTTTTCTTCCAATTTGATAATTTTGAAATATGACAAAAAGATTTAATTTTGATTTTATTTTATGATGAATCATGATGCTATCTGTAGATAACATTGAATTGAACCCAATGGGGTCAGGTTAGTGATGGAGGGTTTGACTAGTTTGTAGAGGGTTATTGGTCCAAACCTCATAAATGCATTAGAACCTATTTAAATGTTGGTTTTACTATTTTTAAGGAGGTATGTGACTTATGTTTGTAATTTAACTATGTTCATGATTTACAATAGAACATTATGTAGTCCACCCTACCTCGTGAGAAAGGGCTTCTTTGTTGTAGTTTCTAAAATGTTTGTTTCCGCTATGATATTGATTGCTCCTATAATTATAGGCCCCAGTTCTTCAACAGCTTCTAGAGAAAATGAAAAGGAGTGATAATCCTTTCTACCCTCAGGTAATGTTGTTCATTACATTAAGAAAAGTACATATGAATTTGTCACCTTTTAAACTTGCTCGTTTTATTTTACTCAGCACTCACATTGCTGGGGCCAATCTTATTAGCTGCACTAAAAACTCAGATATGCAGAATTTTAACAGATTGGTAATTATAGCAATCTATGATGTTTTTTGTACCTAAGTTTCATCACCTGAATAGGGTTTTGATGGTTGTTGACAGCTGTTAATGGTTGATGGAAATGGAATACTTCATCCCAGAGGCAAGTGCTTTACAAAAGAATATTGTGCATCCCCCGTATAAGAGTCATGCACAATATCTTTTATTGAATAATTTTTCCTTTTCTTGAAAATGTGATTTAGAAGAATTTACTTAGCTATTATGAATATGATATTTACAGAGGTACTGTTTCTTATATTTTACTGGTCTATTAAACTAATGAAATATTGAACCAGTCATTTTCCAACTTAATATATTGGTTGGCTCTTGTTTTAAAATTTGATCACTTTGTAACATTCAATAGCAAATGATGTTTGGTATAATGAAAAGTGGCAAAAGCCATTAAACGTCAGATTTCACTGACAAGAAAATTACTCCCATTGATGAGCCATTTCTGGCTATAATTTGTATCCATCCCATCCAAATGACGTTTATGACTCGACTTCCAATGTTAGTAATTTTTTTATCAATTGGAACTATCTCTGAGAAAGTTGAAGTTATTTTAAGTTATTCTGAATATGTTATAATTTATTTAACATAACATGTAAATTTTTGCTTGCTACCTGTGTTTAACATTGAAATTTTCTAAGCCTTTAACTTTTGCAGGTTTTGGGCTGGCCTGTCATATTGGAGTTGAGGCCAATCTACCAACAATTGGGATTGGAAAGAATGTTAGTATTGATAGCATCACTTATTGATCTCTCATCTCATGTGCCCTAGTACCGATTACCTTTCAAGAGATTTTGACATGTTTCTCTATTTCTTCAGAGATTCTATAGTTATTTTTTATAGTTAAGAACAAGAAATACTGAATAGAATCCTTAATTCTTTAGCTGTATATGTTCCAGTTGCATCATGTGGATGGTCTTACTCATTCAACAGTGAGAAAACTTCTTGGTGCTGAAGAAAACTCTTCGAAAGAATTTATTAATTTGGTGGGTTCTTCTGGGCGAATATGGGGAGTGGTAAGAACTTGAATTAATGGTACTCTACTCATCCTTATCTTTTATAATAAGGATGTGCTCACAATCATATGCCACTACAACAGATTTTATCATACTCACGAAGAGCAATTTATTTAATGTTTTCATGCATAACATACAAAAACTGCTAAATCCAGTTGTGTTTTATAACTTACAAAGTTTTGTGTTTTGAAGCATTTTTATTGAGATATTGATTGGCCAAGCTCTAACATTTTATTTTCTTGCTACACTTGTGTCCAGGCCATGAGATCTACACAGGGATCCATAAAGCCAATATTTATATCAATTGGTCATATGATATCACTTCAGACTGCCATTATGATTGTTCAAAAGACCTGCAAGTTTCGTGTGCCTGAGCCAATTAGACAGGTAAAACTATCTTCCATTTGAAAGCATTTAATGCCTGCTTTATTTCAAATCGACGTATAATACAACATCTCTTGTCACAATGAAATTAAAGAAAGAATACACGAACCAGACCTTTAAAGGGATTATTTCTGCCTTTTTTTCTTTTAATCCTTTAACTTCTATAAAGCTAATACTGACTCGTTGGCTTATTGTAATAGTCCACTTTGTAGTTTGGGATTTACTTGAAATCTGCAGCTTATTAGTTATAGCCCGAAGATACAGTAATTTTTTTGCTCTTTTTGAGTTGCACTTCTTGTTCGCCTGCACTTGGTTGAACTCAATCTCCTATTACAAGTTATCAGATTGGCAATGCATTAAATGTTTCTGTATGTCATTTATTAACACTATTGAAAAAGTTCATGGTGGCAGATGCTTGTAGCTAGACTAATTTACCAATCACTTTGCTTGGATAATTTACTTGGTTATGCTTTCCATCATACATCTTCTGGAAACATTTTGTTCATAAAAAAACAAATAAATCTCTTGCTGTATTCCAATTATTGGAAATCAGAAGTATCCAGTTCTTTACACCCCTGTTTGAAGTGCAGGCTGACATAAGATCTAGGGACCATATTCGGAAGCTTGAAATGAATGGCAAAGTAACATAATTCGCTCATACGGTACATCATCGTCGACATTAAATTTTCTTTCCTCGTTGGTCTTGAACACCTAAAGTGATGGCAACACTTACTGGTTACTACTTACTACATGCTATCATGAATTCTGTTAGACACTTGTACGATGTAGGTGGTCATAGCAATGTTAATTTTCGAGTTCAGAGATGTAAATGGATGGAACCAGAAGTTATGGTTATGCTTTCAAACCATATATGTACAACCTTGAAATCGAATACATAAAAGTATCATCAAATACAATCTTGATCTTCAACTTTTTAATGTACAGTACAGCCTCTCTTTTTTTCTGGTGCCTCTTGCACTCACCTAATTCTCAGCATGGATCTTAATGTAGTGAGATTTTTGTACCTCTAAAATACTTTATAATTCTGTAGAACTTACATGGTTTTTCTTATTGATTTTATTTTTAAACATTGAATTTGTTTTGGGTTTAACTTTTTGTCCAGTTAAATAATGAAATAGCTATATGAGATGTCAATAACTGTTAGGTTGCAAGGGACACAAACGAAGTGGATTGAACCATCACAATCCATCAAGTGGTTAGTGTTGAAATCTTCAATCTTGTAGCTCTTTTCATTTGTGAAATGCATAAACCAAGACAAAAATGCACGGTTTCTTATACCATTTGGTTGCACTTGCCGCAAACAAGTGGCCACAAATAGTTGGTCTTCCTCCCCTTGATTTACAATAGCCAATAATTTGTGTACTATTTCTTGATTGTCTTAGAATTTTCATGGTTTGCAACTGAAATTCCCTCAATAAATTAAGCACCAACTTGAAAGTTGTGATTTTTGTGAAGATGATCTGAGAAACACCAACAAAAGGACACATCTTTGTTTTTGCCTTCCTTGTTTTTCTATCCTCCTGAGTTTTGATTTGGCCCATGGTAGAATTATGCAGCAGCAGAAGTATTTCTCAATCCTCTTCCACAACTTCCCAGAGAGCGAATTCCTCCAGATAATACTCCATTTTTACTGCTCAAAAGTCATGGTTTTCCCAATCATAGAAAGGGTGTTTGGGAAAGATTTGTTTCAAAATCCAATTGTTGGAACTGTGGTGGAAAAAATAAAACAGGGAACAAGGGAGAATAGGATTTGTGGGACTATTTTGTGCTGAAAGCAAGAAATGTAATATTTTATTGATCAACATTTGCATTTGTAATTATTGAAAGAGCAAACACATACTGATAAATTAAGTGATATAATTATCAACAACTGTATAGACTTGCTTCTCAAATAAAAGTGTCAGTCTAATCAAAGCATTGTGTCACAATTGTTGTATATTATTTCTCTCCTATTGTTCATCTTCATTGTGCCTCATTAAAATTCTTGATTCTTCAAGTAAGTTTTTGTCATTTGATGCCTAAGTTTTGTTTTTCTGGAGAGATCTTGGACTGAATGATCCTATAGTTTTTCATTACACAATTTGAGAATACATTAGAACAAGTAATTTGAAAATCAAAATAAATGTATTTGATATTTTTGATAAAACAATTTGAATTTTTTTTACGGATTACATGATCTGAAAAAAGCCGTCTGGATTGAAGAACTTAGAATATGTATGGTGATTATATTTAACAATATGGACACATTCTCTAATGAAAAAGTATCAAAAATATATTACAAATTGTGAACTCTACAAGTCATAAACACACTTCTAGATTAGATGATTCAGAAATGACCCACACATTACTTTGTCTAGAATGTGTTAATTTACTCTCCAAATTCTATATTTATGGGGTTGATCTTCCAGAATTACCCTATGAATTAATCTATCAATTTTAAAAGAAAAAAAAAATAGATTCCGCTATCGACTATACTTCGAATAAGATGTTCTTTCTGGATACAATAGGGAATCATGAAACTCATATGGAGGCTCATTGTTCGTTGTTGTTATAAAGAAAAAAAGGGTGAGAGTAGACACTTTGATAAAAAGTTTTGAAATGAAATAAAGTATAATTTACCTTAAAAAGTTTTGAAAAAAAAATATATTTTTAAAGATATCATTTTTATAAATAAATTTATATTAAATAGATAAAATATTAATTGATTTTTCAATAAATAAAATATATTACAAATTTTTTTACCCCATCTATTATAAAAGAAAAAATTAGTTTGCCCCCTACCCATGTCTACTTATCAAGTCAAAAGTTCACTTTAGCAATTAAACTGACCTTATGACAACTTTTTCACCACACAAGCACTTCTTAGCCACCCTATTTCTATTCCCTACTTATTCAAAAAGCTATGATCCTTATTACTCTTATTATAATTCATCAACACCTCATAATTAAAAATGTTTCTTTTTGAAGTCAAAAAATAAGTTGCATATGACCCAAATTTCAAGTTAACTTTACATTTTGCATGAAAATAATGAAAATGTTCCTTGTTGATACGACCCAAATTTCTTGTTAACTTTAAATTTGCACAAGAATAATAAAACTGTTCCTCTGTCAAGTCACAGAATAAGTTGCATATGACCTAAATTTCAAGTTGTCAACTTTACATTTGCATCAGAATAATAAAAATGTTCCTTTTTCAAGTGACAGATTAAGGTGCTGCTGCAAGAGATTATAAGCACTTTTCTAAGAAATTCTGATATAATTGAGTGAAAGATTACTGAACTCTCTAATTTTATAAATTATTATTTTAGAAAAAGTTCAATAACAACCAAACCAAATATTCTATTCCAGAGAATCTCATCCCAAAACAATAGGCTTAGAAATGAAAGACTCATGTAGCAAAAGTCACTTTGAAACAAATGTTGCCAACTATTAAAGAAGGTTAGGTGATCTTCAACAATTTTTCATATATCAGCTCCAACACACATGTTGAATATGAAAAATGAAGTACTGTCTACATCTCCAAAAATAAAAACAAAAACCAAGAATCTTTTAGGGTCACAGAAGAGTGAAATACAAAAATGCCAAGAGTACCATTCTGAGATGCCAAATTCTCCCATTCCCAAGCATTCCAGCAGAATCTGTCTGGATCATGATCTTGAATTTGCAATCTCCAGTTGAAGGATCTCTGTCAGTGACAACAGAAAGGCCAGGGAATTTGCATGCACTGTCAATCTGATCATTCCTTTGGTAATAGCTATTGAATGCATAAGAAATGTTACCACGAGTATCTAAACTACCACATGAAGTTTGATATCCAAGACTTGTACAATCTGCATTCTGACAAGCAAAAGACACACTCGGTGCCACTTGGTCATCATTGAGGTTTGCTGAGGGTTTCAAAATGCACCACTTTTTGGCCAGATATGCTACCCCAGTTGCACCAACTAAGCCATTGGTTCTTGATCCTATGTTAAGCTGGTACTTGGGTTGTCCATCATAGTAAAACAAACCCCAATGTCTTTCAAAATTACCTGGCTGAATGCTTTTGGCATCTTCATCTATGAGACTGAACAAGTAAGCATCCATAGGACCAGGCCTCATCGGTGTCCCCTTTCCGGCCATGTAGCGCGACATGAAGCCCTGGTTAAACCGTTGAGCATATTGAAGGTTTCCGTTTCTGTCTCCATCTGTAGGCCACCCTACTTCTCCTACAATTATAGGCATGTTTCCAAAACCATTTTTTTGCAGGGCCCATACTAGAGTATCATGGTTGGCATCAAAGACATTGTCATAGATCCTTCCATTGTCATTGATGGGGGATTGAAAGCCATTGAAGAAGGCATAATCAACAGGAAAATTGGGGTCTTCATAGAGGCTGATGAAAGGATAGATGTTCACTGTAAATGGGGCATTGTTCTGGCTCAAGAACTTCACAATCTGAACCATGAGATCATGGATGTCTTGCCTGAAGTCACCATCAGAGGGTACTTGTGCACTCTGATAGACATCAGCATTTAGAGGCACTGTGACTTTAACCTGGTTGCCTAAACTAGCTTTCACTAGAGCTGCTTGGATGTTTTGAAGAGCTGGAAGTGTTGTGGTTTCAAATGAACCATTGTATGTTGACAAGAAAGGTTCATTTCCCACTGCAACATACCTTGAAAAAATTACAAAGAAATATTGTTTGAGAAAAAGTAGGAATTGCAGCACTGCCATATGAATAGGGAATAATTTGACAATGGAGGATATAATCATTTCTGAAGTGGAAGTCACAGTGATTCTTATTCTTCAGATTTCAATCTTAACTTCATATGAGTTAGTACTAGATCTCTGACAACCTTTTGTTGACCTTGCAACCATTTAATTTTACAATTGCAACAAATAATCATATATTTCATAAACCATGTTTTACTTTTATGTCCTAATTTCATCCAACGTTGCCTATGGCCTGATACTAGTAGACAAGACATGCAAACAACTATCATCACTTCAGTACATGCAAACAACCGCACAATAAGTCAAAACAAGAGTGGTCTCAAGAAAAGGAGGATCATTAGTACTACACACATTCGAAGGAAGTACATCTAAGATAACGTTCCCAACTTTATTCATCTAGGACTGGAGAATTCATCAGAGATAAAAAAAAAAAGGCAGTGGACTGACCATAAAATCCTGTTCAATAAGAATGAGAATTTGTGTGCAAGTTTTCATGTTGGATGATATGGACCAAAGAAGAACAACCACTCATATTACAATGACTCATAATATAGATGAACCATTGCTGTGAAAATCATGCTACAAAAATGATAGTTGAAAACCAACTTCGTAGTTTCAAATAGCATGATCTATTCATTTGTAAACGAAGAAACAGGGGTATGCCACTTAGCTGAGAATAGATAAGAGCTCAAAGAACTCATTATTCCTTTTACCTTTTGTCCATATAGAAAATCAGTCAACTTGGTCAGATTTGATTTCTAAATCAAATCAAAATCACATCAGTTCTCCTTTTTGATGATGCCAAACACATTGGAAAGAATTCCACCTGGTACTTCACTAAATGTGAATCAAGGAAAGATAAGTATTTTCCATCATTTGAAAGTTTCTTTGCAATGTTTTCTTCTATAATTGCTCTACATCATTACTTCTCTAAACCATTAAATCAAATAACACAGTTTTTAACAAAACCTCCAAACTCAGCTTAACAAAGTCCATGCACAACATGAAATGCAGAGTTACATAGCTGAATAAATCAATTACAAGAATTCATGCTTAAAGTTGTGAGCTGCATAATGCAGTGGTTGAACTCAACATAAATCAGTAAATAGAGAAAAAGATAAACTACCTGATG